ATATATATTTTTAATATATATATTAATATTACATATATATTTTATATATATATATATTATATATTATATATATTATATATTGAAAGTCAGTAGTTTCAGTGCAGTTCAACTTTATTATATAAAATAAAATTAGATACATAAAGCAAAGTTCTTCCTGGGTTCATAATACAGAAATTGTGATGATATCGTCTAGATTATAAATATAATCTTGTGTGAGATGGTAATCCCACAGTGATCAAACAGCACCCGGGGGAGTGAGAAGTAATCAGGCTTAATCCAAGGAAGGGTTACTCCAGTTCCTTGGATCAAGAATCCTTCACCGTCCTGAGGGTAGTGAAGAATCGTTGACGTTAGTATTTGAGTTGTCAGTTACACCAACAGTCTTCTAAGAACTCCATCTGTTTCTACGCCTCTCCTGTTGAATTTTGATGCGACCTGACCTGCGGCGGGCGCCAGCACCGCGTCTGGTCCTGATCTCACTCAAAGGTCCGGGACCGAACACATCTGATGGTCTGGTGTCCTCCTCACTCTCATAGTCATCTCCCTGTAACATATTATATCATTCTTTCAAGAAGAAATTTTAGCACTTAAAAGATGTACTTTAGGCCCGGTGGCCTGGTGGCTAAAGCTCCCGCTTCACACACGGAGGGCCCGGGTTCAGTTCCCGGCGGGTGGAAACATTTCGACACGTTTCCTTACACCTGTTGTCCTGTTCACCTAGCAGCAAATAGGTACCTGGGTGTTAGTCGACTGGTGTGGGTCGCATCCTGGGGGACAAGATTAAAGACCCCAATGGAAATAAGTTAGACAGTCCTCGATGACGCACCTTCTTGGGTTATCCTGCGTCGCTAACCCTCCTGGGTTAAAAATCCGAACGAAATCTTATCTTAGTAACTTTGGCTAAATTAATTAGGGAAAAATTTCGCCCATCAGCAGCTGTGTCAACGCGTCATTGGTGAGTGAAACCTGACGCTTGACGTCTCTCTCATACATCTGTTGGTACTATATGCATCTGTTGGTACTATACACTGTATTTATAACAAGAAAATTATTAAAAAACCTTAAAGGTAAGCAACGATTAAGACAAACGAGCTCTGCTTTACTTCTTCCTAACATGATGTTAAACAAGACCGTAACTAGTTTAGTGGGCCCTTGAAGTGGGTGCCATCATGTTACACAAGGGCTTTGGATCCAAGAGCTTTTGTTTCCCAGGGGATGCATGACCTCTTCGGGTTTAGAGTTTCCTAACGATTACATTAATAATTACAAAGCTAAAGTGGGATCAGCAGCCAGGACAATATGGGCTTCAACCAGGTCGTTCCTGCATCTAGTAACTGCTGGACTATTAAGTCTTGGATACACTGAAACACAAGCAGAATGCAGATAGTGTCTGCAGACATTTCAAAAGCCATCGTTATGGGGCACGTAAGTGCCCCTTAACGATGGCCCTTTTTCCACTATAATCTACCTATAATGCCCCTTTTTCCACAATCTACCTTGTTCATAATTACTATCGCTGTTTAGTAAGGTCAAGTCCAGGATCTTTACTTAATTCATGGTATAACTTAACAAATCTTTGAATGACAATTGTGTTGTAGATGTCTGAGCACAGCTGAGACCTCTACATTATAAAGCACACACTAGTTTTGTACATTACCTCCGTTGAACTGGTGTCGTCGTCTCTGCCTAGGAAATCATTCTCAGGTGACAGGTAACTGCTCTCTAAGCTCTCCTCAGACTCTTCCACACTGATACCTGAACGGGAGGATAGTGTGATATCTCTACACACTCTGCAGTGAACTTTTCACATAGTGACAAGCATTATTGTTTTATGATTTGGTCAGTACATTTTATTGCAAAAAAGTTGATTTTATTACTAGACATGAACGAACGGGCACACTCATACACACGCAACCTCCCACCTACACACACACCACACACACACACACACACACACACACACACACACACACATACACACACACCTGTCAGCAAAATCCTCTTTTACCAGTCTTCGACACATTGACGCCAAAAATATTACTAATAATGATGAAGGTACTGACGAGACTCAGTAGGAGTAGTGGTGTAACAGAGAGCTATCAGCAGCACAGCTCCTGTCAACCACCTCAGACAGCCAGCCATCACAACCTCTGCTTCCTGCAAGATAAAACACTCCGCTCATGTGAAGCTGACTATTTATACATAAAATGTAAAAATATAATAACGTTCAGAGTAATAGAACACAGAAAAGAATTCCTAATTGTTAGAAAACCTTCATACAAACAAGTCAGGTGCATACTGCAAAGCACTAAGCGCTGAAATATAACTGCTGCAGCACTGCTGTAGCACTGCTGTAGCATTGCTGTAGCATTGCTGTAGCACTGCTGTAGCACTACTGTTAGCGTTCTCGTAAATCAACAACTCTGGTGATAAAAAATTACGTTTCTGCCTTATTCATATCCGAATTATTCGAGTTAAATTTCATCAGATTCATAAGGGACAGGCGTTCTGAAACATCATTTAAGAGGCACATAAGTTCCCCTGTCTTCAAATAACATATTCATTTTTCCACTATAATCTACCTTGTCCATAATTACTACCGCATTTGCTTTGTCTGTTTCGTAAGGTTAAGTCTAGGATCTTTCCTTAATTCATGGTATAACTTAACAAATCTTTGATGACAATTGTGTTGTAGAGGTGTGAGCACAACTCAGCACAGCTCAGACCTCTACAACACAATTATCATCAAAGATTTGTTAAGTTATACCATGAATTAAGGAAAGATCCTGGACTTCACCTTACGAAACAAAGCAAATGCGATAGTAATTATGGACAATGTAAATTTTAGTGGAAAAATGAATATGTTATTAGAAGACTGGGAGACTTAGGTGCCTCTTAAGGAGGCCGCGGACTTACCCAGAGATAAAGCCAAAGGGGAATACGAATTCACTGACCTGTTAGGAGTATACTGTGTGGTGTTGGCAGCTGCTGCTGTGTGAGTGATGTTCCAAGCTCCCTCTTTATTATATACCAGTTATGTACGGTAGTTATGGTTGCTTTGAGGATTCGTCAACAAGATAAACCCTTTGTGGATTCCCCAGTCCTGATGATAACATTAATGCGTATAAAGTGACATACGCACTAGCTTGGACTGGTAAACACAGCTGTGTACTGACAAAACCTGATTTAATGAATATTTTCACACAAAGTAAAGAGTTATTAATGTAAGTTACTTAGAGCGAAATTTAGTCTATAAAGAAGCGCTCGCTCAGTGTTTCATATTTTCTTGGGCAGAAATAACCATTTAGTATGCTAGGTTGTAAGCTATTAGCCTCATCAAGGGGGGCTCCTTGGCGTGGTGAAGAGGCTCTTGGTCTGAGGAATTAGACCTGTCGGTCTCCTTCCTCAGACCGAACCTAATTACCCCCCAATCCCCCGTTCCCTATCCCATCCTCCCCATCCTCCCCTTTTTCCTTTCCTCCTCCTCCTCCCCACCCCTCCCTTTTGCCCTTCCTTTTTGGCCTTTGGGTTTTTTTTTTTTTTTTCCACAGGCACGCTAGTTCCTAGGTAGGGGAAAGGGTACCGGGGTCCATCCCATTCCGTTGAGGTTATTGGCGGTGGCGTAGTTTGCCGTGGAATCTGGATTGCCTGGAGATGTCCCGATCCCTCTCCGGTATCCCGGAGGGTGGCTTTGGGTGTGTCTCGGGCGACGGGTGTATCTCTGGAAGCCACCTTTCAGATTCCGGGGGTGGTGGCCGAAGGAGGTATGCTTGTGGCGGATTTCCGGCCGCCCTCTCTTTTGTCCACTGAGGTAGCTCGGCAGATGTGAGGTTGCTATCCCGGATTGCTGGTTTACTGGCATGATGGGTAGGGTATGGCACGGGTTCCATGCTGCATCTGCGCTACTTGCAGTGCTGAGATCCTCTTGGGCGTGGAGAGAGATTTCTGGCCCTTTCATTCCTCCTAGGAATTATCCCTCCCCGGTCCCCCCTTTTTTTATTCTTTTTTTTTCTTTTTCTTTTCTTTTCTTCTTTCTTTTTTTTTCTTAAAAACAAAAAGAAAGAAGTAACCTAACCATGGCAGCCCTAGTCCATGAACCTGCTCTACACCCCGGGCCCCTTCTTGATACCGCACCCCGTTTTGATCCCGCCTCGTCTTTGGACCACTCTTCAGACACTCCTCATGCCTCTGTATCTCTTGCCGGTGCTGTTTCCTCACCCGCTTCAGGTACTGAGGCCTCGACTGACCCCTTCGATTTACCCGACCTTCGCCTCTCCTCTGATTAGGGTTTTTTCCGGGCCTCCCCCTTTAAAGGGTGGGGGCAATTTTCAAATTGCCGACCCTTCCCAAAACTTTGGGCCCCAACTCTGGCCCCAAGCCAAAAGGGGCCAACCCCAATTACCTGCTGATGATACTTCTCCATTTCTCGTTCTTTTTAAAAAAAGATCGACACTCCTACACTTTTTTTTCCCACCTCATTTTTCAGATTTGCCACAATGGATTTAATTTTTCTTCCCCTTTACGACCGATTTTTTCTCTATTTTCCCTATTTTTTTGACCCATATTGGAAAGGGGGAAAAAACTCCTATGCCATTTTTGGTAAAAGATTTTTTCTTTTCATGCCTTAAAAAGCTGTGTGATGCGACTCCATGATGTATCTGGGACACTACACTTTGGTAAAATTTTCAAAATGTCCCCTTTTGGGGCCGACTGTTTTTTTGATATTAGCAGTAAAATTTGGTACTTAGGGGAAGGGTTTTAAAGTACCACAGCAGGGAAAAAGGGGGGGCCCAACTGGACCGTATGCAGGTGCGCGGAAGGTACATAAAACTTTTAAAAATGCCTTTCAAACACCCTTTTCCCTTTCATATGTTGTTTTTAAAGGGAATTAGGGCCCCCCAAAGTCTATTTTAACGTAGGGCGGGGCAACAAGTACATGTCGGCTATGTGGGTAAATATGACCACATCGCGGCACAGGTGGGGAAAACCCGAATGGGTACCCGGGAAAACACCAAGGGGGCAACACAGCCAGTGGGCGAGGTAGGCAAACGAGCAAAACCCCATCTCTTGCAAATGGCCCCCCCCCAACCCAATGGTTGCCCATGGGTGAAAAGGTGGAAAAGAAAAGGACTCAAAATCGCCAGTTGAAAACACAACAAAGGAATCTCGGGCCCTCAAACATACATCGGGTTTTTGAGGAGAGACTACCTAAAGGGGGGAAGAATTGGTGGCGTTTTGGAAAAGGTTTTGGGATGCCTTGTTAGAGGAATGGGTTTTCCTAGATCATGGGAAAACCCCAGGCTTGGGTTCAGGGACGGCTAAAAAGAGGGGTGGGCCCAGGAAATGTTGGTTTGCCCGACGGGGGAGAGTCAAAAGGACTAAAGGGCAGGGCAGTAGAGGGGGAGGTGCTCAGGAGGGTTGTTTCAGATGTCAAAATGCAGGTGGAGGGGCGGGACCGAAAGAGAACGGGCGGAAATCATCGTTATTTCCCCCAACGCCCGGGGTGCCAAATGGGTGGGGGTTTTTTTACAGCAGAGAAGGAAGGGTGAACCCAAGGTTTAAAGGGGATTGAAAAGGGTTTGATTCCCAAAAAGGGAGGGGGACGGGAGGTGATCCAAAACAAAAAACGGGGGGTAAAGTCAAGGGATCGGGAGAAAAAAAAAACCCTTTTGTTAAATTTCAAGTTTTTTACTAAAATATTAAGGGGTTTAATTGAGAGCTGAGTGGAAGCTTAAGTGGTTTTTAAAGGGGGTATTTGGTGCGATTGGTGTGGATGTGGTATTCTTAAGGGGAAAATAAAATTTTTGGCCTGGTTTTGAGTTGGGTAGGGGTTTGGGTTTTAATGTTTACATGGAACAAAGCCACACGTTTGAAGGTGGGGCTTTCCATTTTTGGGAAAGGAAAACAAACCCCTTTTTAGTAAGGCATAGTGAAGGAGGGAGGGAGGGAATTAGAGTTTGGGTGGGAAACCCGGGGGAGGGTTTCCCCCTTAGTTTAGTATGTGTATATGCCCCCCTGAGGGTGACGTGAGTATTAAAACTTTAAAATTTTTCAACATACTTTGGGCTTTTTTTACGTTGGGTTACCGAATGCCCGCCCAAAAATAGGCCCGGGGATTGGAAATTTCGTGATACGTCGTAAAAGTGGAGCCTGAGGTGCGGGGTTTTTGTTTGGGTAATTGGGGGGGTTTATTGATCGGGGTGGGGTTAAAGGATGTGTGTGGAGGGGGGAGGGAGGGAGAGCATTAAACCTTTATTAAACGAGGTTTTTGCGGGGGGGTTGGACCGGGAAAGTTCCCTGCCTTTTGCGGTTTTTTGTGCCGAGGGTGAATTGATAGTGTGGTTTTTCCCGGGTCATAGAGGAGTTGTAATAGATGTGGGGTAATTTAGGGTTTTTGCCTCGGAGGGGTCCATCATTTTGGAAAAAAATTTAATGTAAAGTTTTTTTAAAGGAAGGGAAAAATCTTTTGTCTTTTGGACATATGTGGGATCGTTTAATGGTAGAAGCACCAGGGATGTTGCCATGGTTAATTGGTGGAAACGATAGCTAAAAAACGTAATTAAGGAATATTATATTAATCGAGGGACGAGATATAATCATTACAATACGGTTTTCAAAAATATTTAGAGGGGCAGTTGCGCGAATGTTATGCACAAATTAATGCTAGTTATCCTGTTATTGAAATTGAAAGTTTGACGGAAAATATCCGGAATTTACAAAATGAGAGGTTTGATGGGGAAAGGCTTAAGGGCGGGATTGAGGAGGTTTTGTGGGGAGATCGGCCGTCGGCGTGTGTGTTGCGGAGTCAACAGAGACGTCGCAAGGCAATGGAGTTAATGGGGTTGAATGTTCAGGTAGGTATGCAAGGGTATAAAGTGGATCAGGTGTTGACGACGACTGAGGGTATGAGTGGGTATATTGATGCTTGGGTTAAGTTGAAAACGCAAAGTGTGGGAATAAGCGAAATAGCATTACAGTCAATTGGAAGGTTTGTGCAGTGTGAGTTGACAGAGCATGATCGATTCGTTTTGGGAGGGCCGATAACGGAGTGCGAGACATGGGAAGCTTTATCCGGGGCGCAATTAGGTAAGGCACCAGGAATTGATGGGTTGCCCAGTGACTTTTATCTTCAAAATTGAAGCGTTTTAAAGGGGTTTTTGGTAAGATTATTCAATATCCTTAAGTGGGATCGGGTTTTAGGGGCACAGCAACGGATGGCTGTGGTCGTTCTAGTGCCTAAAGGTGAGCCATTAACAGTCAAAGACTATCGTGCTATTTCGTTATTGTGTGGTGATTATAAGATTATTGCAAGAATTTTAGCTAACAGAATAAAAAAGGTCCTGGGTAATGTGATTGATAAGGGACAATATGGGGTGCTAGGAAGATCTATGTATGACGGGCATGGTTTGATTAGAAGTTTTATTGAAGAAAGAGTAAAATTGGGAGGGGGAGGGTGTTGGCTATAGATTGGGAGGCGGCATATGATAGTGTAGAAAGGGAAGCGTTATGGAAGATTATGAGATGGCAGGGGTTTGGAGAGGAAATTATATCATGGGCCAAATTAGTGTATCAAGATGCATCCTTGCGGGTGCAGGTAAATGGAAGGTTAGGAGAACAAATTCAGATGAGAAGGGGTCTACGTCAAGGTTGTCCCCTTTCACAAATATTTTTTGCGTGTTTACAGGATCCCTTTTATAGAGGAATTAGGGTCTTATTAGCAGCAAATGGGGTTGGTAACGAAAGGGGGTGGGGGGGCTGGCATTGTTGGATATGTTGATGACACAACAATTTTAGTAAGTGGTAACAGGGATTTGCCTCGGGTGGAAAAGCTAGTGAACGTTTTTGAAAAGGCTTCTGGTATGTCAGTTAATAAGGAGAAAACGAAGTATATGGATCTTGGGGATGGGTTAAGTGAGGAATGTGAAGTAGTTGAAAGGTGGAAAAAGGTCGACCAATTACTGATATGTGGGATCGTTATGTAAGTGATATCAAGTTAGCACAACAAATAAATTCAGTGCATATTGTAGATGGTGTACTGAAGCGCCTCAGTGGTTTACGAGCTGCACACTTAACTTTGCAT